ATACAAGTGACATATTTGATTAAGAAAATATAATATAATGAAAACTGTAGTTTGTTATGCATTTCCGGTATCTACCAGGGCAGCCCAGTTTCTTATTTCTGAAAATAATTTTTGATTTTAAAACTCAAAAATCTGGAACGCTTTTATATACTAAAAAAATAGTGCAAAATCAAAGCCAAGATAGGAAGAAAAGGCGTTTATTTCTTTAACGAACACCAAAATTATTCCCTTTAAAGTAACAGCTTTATCTCAGGACAGGTTTTTGGATTAGTAATAATTCAATACATAATTAAAAACCAGGTGGAAAAACAATAAAATTGTGTTGACCGAATTAATGTTTTAATATCATGTAGTGTCTGTAACGGTAACATACCTGCTAAAGTAGGAGGGCGGTTTTATCATTACATCAAGATGTTGTGTAAAAACAAAAATAATTGTGTGGTTTTATGAAACAACGATACAAGTGAAACTTTTCGGATTGTAGGCTTTTAACTGTTAATTTTCGGAAAATTATTCGATTTAGGGTATTAAAATTAAAATTGCGTTCTTAATCTTATTTTAATGATTGGAAAATGGCAATGATAATGGGAAATCAATAGTAGACAAGATATCCAACTGTAAATTTTAATTTCAATCTGCGTATGAGAGTACGGAGTACATAATAAATTCAGATGTTAAAAACTGCGAACAATATTTACTTAAATCATTGAATCACTTTGAACTTCAGTTATTTTAAAAATATTTTCATCTTCGCTTTGAGTTTCACAGTCTATAAATGTAATTGTCATTCACTTGCACGAATGAGTGAGAATATTAATGCTACACGGTTAGCTGCGAGCCATGGGCACCGCCATATTGGTCTTGGCTGCTCCACCGAGCGCCTTTAATGTTTACTTCTACTCCTCGGCCGGCTGTAAGCAACATGCAATAAATGGGCGAAAAAATTTGAGGTGTAATAAAAGTTTCACTTTAAAACTTCTAACATATGTATGTATTTCGTAAACGGGTACTTGCTCATAATATATAGTAAGAGGGAGGGAGAAGTCTATTAACACATTCGATTTTAGACGTTGCCAGATCAAAGGAATTAAGAATCAAATTTATAGGGAAAATCGGATATAATTTATAATGTAATTTAATTTGTGTACTAAATGAATTCATGTTGTCTACAATTTACCTGCACATTGGAAATTTCTTTAAATGTTTGTGAATAAATAAAGGAAGGTCTTCCTTTTTTAAATTAAATGATATTTTTTTATTTAAATATCACCAAAGAATCTCCAGGGTAATACAAAGAAATTTCAGTGTAAAATCTAGGGAACAAAAAAATATTTGGCAACATTGATTTTTTGCTGTAGAAACGTGCGATAGGAACTTCCGAAAATAAAATTATTATTAACTGCAAATGATACCCATTTCTGAAGGAGTTTCGGTGAGAATTACATCCAGAACCACACTAATGGACCATTTTAAGTATATATGTGGGTATTGAAATATATCCGTGAGCAGTTTCGTATTGGCAATATATTCTGAGTGATTCAGAGGCTTCTTCCACCAGTGTGTATCAGCATATAACGTTTTTGAGAGCAAACTTTTATCCAGAGGCAATTTCCATACTACTGAAAGCCGGTCGTCTGAACTTTATAACGGTTAACATTTGACATCGATTTTATTGAAGGGATCCTTCTTCTCGAGACGAGCTTTTTCGCCAACTAACACGATATGAAAAATTGAATTTCAAATATCTCCGATAAAGAATGTTACATAGATAACTGACGTGATTTTTGTTGGTTGTGTAGGTAACTTCGATCAATTCCCATTAATATTGTTTCAAAAGGTACACGGATAATTTTTGTTACTAACAATATGATTATTTTCATGTCATATACATAGCTTTACGTAACCAGCAGCACTTACAAAAATGCGCTTTTTTTACAGTTAATTCTATTGGTTCTTCTCAAACGGTTAATTATGACTATTTATATTAATTACCTATTCGAATATAAATTTTTAATTAAAGGAATTTAGATGAAAACATTATTACTTAAATGCTTTATGGCTATTTTCTATAAAGAGGATTATATGGGTAAATAAAGTAAACCAAGTCAAAAAACATACAATTTTCGAAATAAAGTTTATTTAGATCTAAAACTTTATTTTAAGATTATTTCATCATGATCAGGCAAACAAAACAGAAAACTTTTGTAGTGTTTAATACAAACAGCATATATAAGAGTTCGTAGATACATTGCACTTCATTGTTTATCATGATTTATAACAGGTAATGAATATCTGCAAATGCAACGAAATAATAATAAGACGATTAATTGGAATTTGAATCACAATAATAACTACAAATAACATAATCTTTTATTGTAACACATTTAATTGATTATCCTTTTTACAAACATGGTTCAAAAATAAAAAAATCATTTCTTTGAATATCACTGCTCCTGTTATCGAACGACAAAAGCATTCTTTATGGAATAGCTTAAATATCAGTATTTGTTTAGCAACTGAATAACAAGTTGTTCTTCCTCCTCCCAATTACACTTTATCACTGTTAAGGGGTTCCAATTGACCTTCTTCTTTTTTATCGACAACCTTTTTTCTTCGGAAGCATGTAGTGAAGCAAGTGTCATTTTTACCAAACTCTTCTCCATCTTGTATGCTCTCAGGCATTGGCGCCCCCATAGTTTCAGGTAAAAAGAGGGTAAGCGCGCCTGAAATCAAGGCTATAACTGCGAATACAATGGCTGGAAGAGTGGGATCGAAAGAATCAAGAAGGGTCACAAGAGGAGTTAATGTACCAGAAAGCCTGGCGCACATAGATCCGAGACCTAATGCAGAATTTCGTATTACAGTCGGAAAAAGTTCTGCGGAATAATTATAAACTATTGCGAAAGAACTGGAAATGAGAAATTTTCCAATCATAGCGGCCGAAATAGCCCCTACAGTAGCAGGAGTCAGTTTCGCAGCTGTTATACAGCAAATACCACCAGTAATCATATAGAAGGCTATGAGTGGCCTTCGACCAGCTCTATCCATTATAGTTATTAATAGAACATAACATGGCAGTTCTACAAGTCCAGAAAGGAATAACATAAGGAATGGATTTCCTTCAAGTTTCCCAGTACTAAGAGAAAGACCATAGTAGGCCAGAGAATTTGCAAACCAGCATAAACAAATATTTAGTGTTTTCTTCCGAAGATTCGGTGTGCGGAATAAATCAGAAATACCTCCTGAAGATATATCACTTTCTTCCGAAACGTTTTCAACTCTAGGTGGTGCTTCATAGTCAGCTTCGTCTAAATGTATCGCACTCCCGTTTATTTTAAGGCCTTTCTTAATAATAATTACTGCCTCTTTTGTTCGACCCTGCATCCATAACCATCTGGGAGATTCGTCCATAAGCCACCAGTGACCAATCAGTAGAAGTGTATGAAGACCATAGATGACTTGAAGTATTTGTCTGTCTTTTATTAGCGCACCCCAACCAGCAACCATCATTATACCAATTGCGAATGTGAATTGGAAGAAAACTCCGCATGCAGTTCGTTTTGACGGACCTACGAGTTCCATGGTAAGAACGAAGCCGGTAATATAACTACCTGCAGATCCGAAAATGCCGTAGAAGTATCTTAATACGAGAAAAGCGTAATAGTTAGAAATAAAGGCAACTGAAACACTGAAGATGAGGGTGAGAACAGCAGAAATGCAAAATATAGTCTTCCTCCCATATTTGTCAGCCATATTTCCAAGGACAACAGCTCCCGTAAATACACCGAACATATACACAGACTGAGCGACAGCTCCCATCCATCTTCTATGACACACAAAGTCCCATTCCGTTGCTCTCGATGACGGGTGGTATGTGGGATCGTAGATCCAGGCATTACATAACATTGATTCGTTTCTTTCGTTGTAAATGTGACATGTATCGAACTCTCCTGTGGGAAGCCTAGGAATGTAGAGAGCTAGGTCGACATTTGTTATGTTCCAAATTGAATCATTTGCATCTAATTCTGGGATAAAACATCTGAAATAGAAGGTGAAAGTTAAACGGTGAACGGTTGGTAACTATTTAAATCCTTAAAATATTCTCTTGTTAAATCATAAGCCGTAAACTAAACAGCCACTTACGGTACCTACGTCTACATATAAAGATTTGGCAGCAAAACTAAAGCCTGTAGTTCATTTAATATAATAGACCAATTTTAAAAAGCGGTATTCAAAAGAATATAATTAAATGGGTGGAAAAAAAGAATGTAAAATGTAAATTATTTACCTGTGATCAGGTGAATTT